GCTTGTATTATTTACGGCTAGCTAGCTAGCTAGCTAGCCAGCTGTGTTGTTGACAGCTAGCTAGCTAGCTGTTGTTTTTGTTAGCTAGCTAGCTGCATTGTAGGCAGCTAGCTAGCTGTTGTTCTTGTTGTTGTTAGCTAGCTAGCTAGCTGTTGTTGTTTTTGTCAGCTAGCTAGCTAGCTGGCTAGCTGTTATTTTTGTTAGCTAGCTAGCTAAGCTTTGTTGCTCATAGAGCGGCAGACATATTGTTGGCCTAGCCCCTCCCTACTCATTTGAGGAATTGGCTAGCTAGCTAGCTGGCTAGCTAGCTGGCTAGTTAGCTGGCTAGCTAGTTAGCTGGCTAGTTAGCTGGCTAGCTAGCTAGCAAGCTAGCTAATTGGCTAGCTAGCTACCTACCTACCTTCATGGGTAGCTAATTGAGGGTTCGTGTGGCTAGGTGGCAAGTAGTTTGGCTAGCTAGCTAGCTAGCTGTAGCTAGCTAGCTAGCTGTAGCTAGCTGTAGCTAGCTAGCTAGCTGCACAAACTAGGTATTGGCTCCAAAGGCAAACTTGGCTAGCTACGGCCTGTCGGTGTAGCTAGCTAGATAGCTAGCTAGGTAGCTAGCTAGCTAGGTAGGTAGCTAATTATCTAGCTAGGTAGCTAGTTATGTAGATAGATAGGTAGATAGATAGATATATAGGCATATATGATAGCTAGATAGCCAGCTAGCTAGCTAGCTAGCTAGCTAGCTAGCTAGCTAGCTGCTGTTGCTTATAGAGGCAGCAGCAACTGCTGCTGTGTTAGATGCTTCGTTGCTGTGAGTTAAAGGCTAAGGATGCAACAGCAGCAGCAGCTGCTGCTGCAGCTGCAGCAGCTGCTGCTGCTGCTGCAGGGTAGCTACTGGGGGCTATACTAGCAGCAGCTGCTGCAGCAGCTATTGTGGTTGCTGCTGCTGCTGCTGCTCTTGCTGCCGTTGCTGCAGCTCCTACAGCTTTCTGTATGAGGAGAGCAGCACATATTAGGGTAAGGAGACAAAAAGAGACAAAAAAGGAGACACATAAGGAGGAGACACAGGAGGAGACACATAAGGAGGAGACAGATAAGAAGGAGACAGATAAGAAGGAGACAGATAAGAAGGAGACAGATAAGGAGGAGACACAGGAGAGAGAGAGGGAGATAAAAAGAATAAGGAGACAATGATAAAGAAAAAGGAGACACAAAGGAGACACAAGGAAGACATAAAGGAAACAAATAAAATAAATAAATAAATAAATAAATAAATATATAAATAAATAAAATTAATAAAGGAGACAAAAAGGAGACAAAAAAGGAGACAGATAGATCTATATATGGTGTATATACACCAAAAAAGGAGACAATCCCTGAGGTGTATATACACCATAAATAAAAAGATAATAATACTGCTGCTGCTCTTCTTACTACGAGCAGCAACAGCAGCAGCAGCAGCAGCAGCAACAGCAATAGTGTATAGTATCTTATTAAGAAGTTTGCTGCTCAGTGTGTCTCCAATAAGAAGCAAAATAATAATTATTTATATTTTTTATTTTATATTTTGCTGCTGCTGCTGCTGCTGTTGCTGCTGCTGCTGCTTGTCATGCAGCCCCTGTTTACGTAACAAAAAGCCCCCCAGCAGCAGCAGCAGCAGCAGCTACTGTAGCAGCAGCAGCAGCAACAGCAGCTGACGGTGCTGCTGCTGCTGCTATTCAATGTTAGTAATTTATTATTTATTATAAGGAAACACAAGAGATAAGCACTTGTCTTTAGCAGCAACTGCAGCAGCAGCAACAGCAGCAGCAGCAGCAACACAGTGGCTGCTGCAGCACGGCGAGCAGATCCGCTGCTGCGGCAGCAGCAGCAAGACAGCAACTATACCTATAGAGAGACCGCCCAAATAACAGCAGAAGCAACGGCAACAGCAGCAACAGCAGCAACAGCAGCAGCAACAGCAGCAGCAGCAAGGAGGAACCCATGGCGCTCCGCTCCCAAGTTGGGAGTTTCTTGCTGCTGCTGCCGCTGCTGCCGCTGCTGCTGCTGCTGCTGCAGCAGCAGCTTAGATGTCATGCAGCAACTCCATCAGGAGTCCTCTTGAAGGTCTCCTACCGCATTCTAAACCCTTGGGCAGCAAGCAGCAGCAGCAGCAGCAAGAGCAGCAGCAGCAGCAGCAGCAGCAGCAGCGAATGGCATCCATTGGGTACTGTGGAGCTTAGCAGCCTAACAGCAGCAGGACCTGCTGCTGAATGGACGTCCTATAAGGGGCAGGCATTTGCTGCTGCACTGGAGGAAGCGCAGCAGCAACAGCAGCAGCAGCAGGAACTGCAGCAACAGCAGCAACACCAGCAGCAGCAGCACCACCACCAAGAGCAGGAGACCATCTTCCCTGTCCTCTCTCTTAAAGCAGAGAGAGACAGTGGGGCCCCACCCCTCATAACAACGATCCCACTGTCTCTGCTTCACGAGCACCAGCAGCAGCAGCAGCAGCAGCAGCAGCAGCAGCAGCAGCAGCAGCAGCAAGCCCAGCAGCAGCAGCAGCAGCCGCAGCAAATAGGGTTGCTGCGGTGTACCGACAGCTCGTCTCCCTTTACCCTAGAGCTGACCCTAGGCAGTGCTGCGCTGCACCCTGTAGCATTAAGCCTTTTAGATGCAGCAGCAGCAGAGAAGCAGCAGCAACAGCAGCAGCAGCAGCAACAGCAGCAATCACGACGTCGTGTCTTCTGCTCCCCAGCTAAGCCTGCTCTGCTGCTTGTGTCTCCTCCTAAGGAGCCACGGATGTCTGTGCTGCTGCCTCCTTCTGCTACCCCGCAGCCAGTTACTGCGCAGCAGCAGCAGCAGCAGCAGCAGCAGCAACAGCAGCAGCAGCAGCAGTCCTCCTCTCTGCTGCAGACATATTGGTGGGTACTACCCCTTATTGTTGTTATGCAGCTATTAGCAAGAGGAATCTCTACAGATGACGAATCGTCTCCTCCTGTGTCTCCTGCTGCTGCTGCTGCTGCTGCAGCAAGAGGCAACAGCAGCGGCAGGCAGCAGGGGCCCCACAGAAGGAGACAGTAGGGGCCCCTTCCCCTCTTTTTTAGGGTCTTATAAATATTTTGACCCTAGGGGCCCCCAGGGGGGCCCTGTGGGGTCTAGGGGCCCCCATGAGGGTTTAGGGTTCACCAATGATGTGGGGCCCTTTTGTCTCTTTTAAGTTTGTTTTGTTAATAACTGTCGTAGGGTTTAGGGTTTAGGGTTTAGGGTTTAGGGTTTTAGGGTTTAGTGTTTAGGATAGGCACTCAGATTTTAGGGGTTTTAGGGTTTAGCCTTTTAGGGTTTAGGTTTTAGGGTTTAGGGTTTAGGGTTTAATGGTTTAGGGTTTGGGGCAAGGCAGCCCTAAACCCTAAACCCTAAACCCTAGAAGAAAACAAAGAGACAACAAGAAATAAAAAGAGACAAAAAAGGAGACAAAGAAAAAAAAACAAAAAAATAAAAAAGGAGAAAAAAAAAAGAGACAAAAAGGAGAAAGAAAGGAGACACAAAAAGGAGACAAAAGAAAGAGACACAAATACAGTACAGAAAAGGGACAGAAAGGGACGCAACCTTCCTACCCTGCAGCAGCAGCAGCAGCAGCAGCAGCAGCAGCAAACCGTCCTTAGCTGTGCTGGTTAGTCGCACACGGCTGGCTGCGTGCCTGGCTAGCTGGGTCTCTAGGGTTTAGGGTTTAGGGTTTAGGCTTTGCTGTCGAGGGCTTTAGCATCTCGGGTTTAGGGTTTAGGGTTTAGGGTTTAGGGTTTGGGTTTTGTAGGGTTTGGGATAATGAGAGTTTATCCTATTCGCTAAACATGAGACACTAAAAGACAAAGAGAAAGTTCTTATTAGGGTTTAGGGTTTAGGGTTTAGGGTTTAGGCTTATTAGGGTTTAGGGTTTACGGTTGTTAGGGTTTAGGGTTTGGGGCTGCATGCACGAGAGGATGTCTGCTAGCGTATTACTCTTGTCTTATATATTTATTCCTCCCTTCTCCTCTTTTTCCTTTTTTATATATAAATAAATAAATAAATTAATTAATTAATTCTTTTTTCTTTTTTTTCCTTTTTATTTATTATAAACCTTTTTATTCCCTCTATTAAGGGGGGGGGGCCCCCTCCTTGCTGCTGTAGCTTGTTGGTAGATAAACCCTCAATAAGGGGCCCCCTACCCTACACTCCTAATCTAAACCCTAAACCCTAAACCCTTATTGAGGAGACGCTGGTAAAGGTGTACATACACTGCAGCTAGGAGGAACGCGTGCTGGTGTAACAGCAGCAACAGCAGCAACAACAGCAGCAACAGCAGCAGCAACAACAGCAGCAACAGCAGCAGCATTGGGGGCAGAAGAAAAAGAAGGATAAAGGAGACGGGAGAAGAAGGAGGAGAGAAAAGGAGACACATAAAGGAGGCACATAAGGAGACAATTATACACATAAAAGGAGACAATTATACACATAAAAGAGGAGACACAGTAGCTAAATAAATAAATAAATAAATAAAATAAATAAACAAATAAATAAATAAATAAATAAATAAATAAATAAATAAAGATGGCATATAGATATGCACGTGAAGGTTTACGTAGTAAGAATAAATTATTAGAGAAAAGTTTATATAACTAAATAAATAAATAAATAAATAAATAAAATAAATAAATAAATAAATAAAATAAATAAATAAATAAGATGGCATATAGATATGCACGTGAAGGTTTACGTAGTAAGAATAAATTATTAGAGAAAAGTTTTTTTAATAAAAATAATTTTATTAAAGAAATTAAATATATAATTATGCAATGGCATTATAAGCAATATTTATTACCTATTATTAATAATACTTTATTAAAGTACCAGACAAGTAAGTCTATTTATTTATTTATTTATTTATTTATTTATTTATTTTATTTATTTATTTATTTATTTATTTTATTTGTTATTTTATTGGCTATCTATTGATTGGTTATATAAGGGCATTATATACAATATTTATTACCTATTATTAATAATACACAATTAATTAATTAATTAATTAATTAATTAATTAATTAATCAACTAATTAGTTAATTAATTAATTGTTTATTGTGTATTGTTGTCTAATTTCTTGTTTATTTAGGGGGTTTATTGCTTGGTTATTTATTTTATTTATTATTTTTTTGTTTGTTCTTATGTATTGTTGGTTTCTTGTATTATTATTATTTAATTATTTACTACTAGTTATTATTTATTGTTATTTGTTGTTTATTATTTATTACTGCTTATTTGTTGTTATTAATTGTTATTAATACTAATTATTATGATTAAATAATAAAGGATAAAATAAGAAGAAAACACTAAATAAAATTATAATATAAACTACTTAATAGAAAGAGAATAAAAAGGAGAAGAATATAATAAAATAAAAAATTATTTTTATCTAATAAAAATAGAGAAAAAAAGAAATGTATAAATATATATATGTTGTCTAAAAATGCATGCACGGATGCATGCATCCAAGCATTTTTTGGGGCTGGAATTTTTTGCATGCATTTTTTGGGGCTGGATTTTTGCTTGTTTTCTTGCATGCAGGTATGGAGATGTTACAATACTATCATGATAAAAAGGTAACGGATAAAAGTAGTCGTTTTTTGTCTCCTTTTACCTCTCGTGTATATTTACCTCCTGCCTTACCCTTAGTTATACCTGTGCGTCGTACTAGTAATCCTTTTTGTCCCCTTTCTCCTAATAAAACAGGATTTATATCCTGTAAACAAGATGCCCTTTCTCATCTAAGGGGGCCCCCTTATCTATATAAGGGGCCCCCTCACTGCGCACCTAAAAAAGTACCCTATCCACGGCCCCATGGTAAAGTTATTATAGGGGGTACAGACCCTACGCCTCCTGTATTCCCTAAAGGATATTAATGCATGCATGCATGCATTGTTTGCTGCATACATGCATCCGTGTATTTGTGCGTGCGTGCGTGCATGCGTTTGTGCATGCATGCATGCATGCATTAATGCATGCGTATATGCATGTCTTCGTGGATGGGTGCATGCATGCATCTGTGCATGCATACGTGCATGCATAAATGTATGCATGTCTCCATGCATGCGTGCATTCATTACTGCATGCATTGGTTCATGCATTAACGCATGCATGCATGCATGCATGTCTGCATGCTTGAATGCATGCAGTTATGCATGAATTCAGACACCCTACTTTTGGGGCTGCATGCATGCATGCAGAAGCCTTGAGAGCGCAGCGTCTTTTAAGGGAGAAATAATAAACCTTCCTTTACCAAGTTTGCCTTCATATAGAGGCCTGGCAGTTCGAGTCCAAGGGTTTAGGGTTTGGGGTTTAGGGTTTGCCACCTAGGGTTTAGGGTTTAGGGTTTAGCGTACTCTAACCTAAATGTTGTTGCTAAACACTAAACCCTCGAGATTGGGGTTTCCTGGATATAGAGTTAGCTGGTCTTATAATTTAGGGTTTAGGGTTTAGGGTTTAGGTACAAAGGTGTTGCTGTGCATGCAGCAAGAAAGCTGACAACTGCCATAAGGCAGCGGGGCCCCATTAGGGGCCCCTGCAGCCAGAGGTAGAGCCCTGCTGTTGCTGCTGCTGCTGTTGGTGCTGCTGTTGGTGCTGAAGCAGCAGCTGCTGCTGTTGTTGCTGCTGCTGCTGTTGCTGGAGGCAGAGCTGCTGCTGCTGCTGCATGCACTGCTGCTGCAGCTGCTCTAGCTGCTGCCGCTGCTGCTGGTAGCTGTTTAGGTGCCGCTGCAGCTGGTCTATAAGCAGCCGTCTTTCTTTTTGCATGCGCTGCGCTCGTTGCTGCAGCAGCAGCAGCAGCCGCTGCTGCTGCTGCAGCTGCTTAAGGGGCTCCAGCTTTAATAATTGATTCTCTTTTTCTTCTTCCCTCCGCAGCAGCTCAAGTCTATCCATTGCTGCCTGCAGCACTTGCTGCTGCTCCTGTTCTTGCTGCTGCTGCAGCTGCTGCAGCAACTGTAGCTGCTGCAGCTGCTGCTCTTGCTTCTGCTGCACCTGCTTCTGCTGCAGCATTGATGTCCCTCTTGTGCTGCACAAGCTGTCTCCTCTTTGTGCAGGGGCCTTTCTCTGGCTCCTTGTGTCTCCTTCTGCTGCTGCTGCAGCAACAGCAGCAGCAGCAGCAGAAGCAGCAAAAGATGTAGGCAGCTGAGAACCCTCACGTAGCAAACCTGCTGCAGCACCAGGCCTGCTGCTGTTGCATGCATGCTGATTACTCTGCAACTCCTCTGGTGCTGCACTAAGGCCTGTGACGTTCTCCTGCCTCCGCTGTTGCTGCTGCTGCTGCTGTTGCTGCTGCTGCTGCTGTTGCTGCTCCTGTTGCTGCTGCTGCTGCTGCTGTTGCTGCCGTTGATGGCGCTGGAGCAGGATGTGGTACTGCAGCTGCTGGTGCAGCTGCAGCAACAGCTGCTGCTGATGGAGTGCCGGTTGCTGCTGTTGTGCTGCCTGCTGCTGCTGTTGCACTGGTCCCAAATGCTGCTGCTGCTGTTGCTGCTGCTGCTGCTGTACTGGCTGCTGCTGCTTCTGTTCTTTTGGATGCTGGGGAGTTCTCATGTATTCAACTCCCTGCATGCATTTCAGCTGCTCCTGCTGTTGCTGCTGTTGCTTCTGTTGCTGCTGCTGAATCTGCACTTGTGGCTGCTGCAACTTGCAATCCTTCGACGCAGCAGCAGCAGGTGTCGGCGCTCCTGCTGCTGCCGTTGTTGCTGTTGTTGCTGTTGCTGCCGTTGCTGCTGCAGGTTTCGTCGGTGCTGCTGCTGGTGCAGGTGCTGCTCCTGGTGCACGTGTTGCTACTTTTGCAGGTGTTGCTGCTTTTGTTGCTGTTGCTGCTTTCGCTGCTGTTGCTGCTGCTGCTGCTGCTGCTTCATATTGATAGAGAGGGGTAGCAGCAGAACCTGATGGATTTGCTGCTGGCAGAAAGAGATGGTTGCAGCATCGGAAGGCGCAGCCTGGGGCTGCTGCAGTGGCTGCTGCTGCAGTTGCTGCTGCTGCAGTTCCTGCTGCTGCAGTTCCTGCTGCTGCTGTTGGTGCTGCTTCTGGCGGTGCCACTGTTGAATGAGTAGGACGTGCACTTCCAGCGGCAGCAGCAACAGCAGCAGCAGCAGCAGCAGCAACAGACCTTCCCGTTGCTGTGCTGTCTGTCGTGTCCTTGCCTGCGTCTTGTAGAAATGCCTGCTGCTGCTGCTGCTGCTGTTGCTGCTGCTGGTGCTGCAGCATTAACTGCTCTAGGAGCTTGCTCTCTTCACCATGTTCCCCACAGTGCTGCTGCCTTGCAGCTTGTAGCAGCAGCAACAGCTGCTGCTGCTGCTGCTGCTGCTGCTGCGGCTGTTCGTGCTGCTGCAGCACTTGCTGCGAATGACTCACCCGCCTCCTCCTTTGCTGTCTCTGCTGCTGCTGCTGCTGCTTCTGCAGCTTCCGCTGCACCGATTCCTTAGAGCGGCTCTCCTGCTGCTGCTCTTGCTGCTGTTGCTGCTGCTGCTGCTGCTGCTCCGTCATATGCCTGCCCAGTTCATGCTCAGGCCACAGACGCATTAAGAAGTCCTTTTGCTGCTGCTGCTGCTGTTGCTGCAGCTGCTGCAGCTGCTGCTCGTCTAGGTACCAGTCATGCTGCTGCTGCTGCTGCTGTTTCGTGAGCTGTTGCTGCTGCTGAGACTCGCTGCATGCGTGCTCTGTTGCAGCAAGGCCCTGCCAGTGCAAATCCCTGCTGGTGCTGCTGCTGCTGCGGCTCTTGCTGCTGCTGCTTTTGCTGCTGCTGCTGCTGCTATTTGGTAACGCGCCTTCTCTTGTATTATCTGCAGCAGCACAGGGCAGCAACACTGCCTGTTTCTGTGCTGCAGCAGAGGCCATTGCAGGGACTTGATGGTGTTGCTGCTGTTGCTGCTGCACTTGCTGCTGTTCCCGTTGCCGTTGCTGCTGCTCGTCTTGCTGCTGCCGTCCACGTTGCTGCTGCTGCTGCTTCTGGAGCTCTTGTTTTACCATTAGCTCCAGTTGCTCCTTTTGCTGCTGCTGCTGCTGCTGCTGCTGCTGCATTTGCTGCTGCTGTTCCAGTTGTTGTTGCTGGTGTTGTTGTTGCTGCTGCTGCTGCAGTCGTTGCTGCTGCTGCAGTCGTTGCTGCTGCTGCTCGAGTTCTTTCAGCAGGTCACGCTGCTGCTGTTGCTCTTGCAGTTGCTGCTGTTGTTGCTGCTGCTGCTGTAGCTGCTTCTGTTGTTGCTGCTGCTGCTGTTGCTGCTGCATGCACTCTGAGCTGCTAACTCGCAAGTGCTCCCCACAGGTTGTTTGCTGCTGGTACCGCGGCAGCAGCAGCTGCAGCAGCTGCTGCTGCAGGAGGGACTGCTGCTGTTTTTCTTTGTGCTGCAGTTCCTGCTGCTGTTGCTGCACTTTCTGCTGTTGCGTCTGTCGCTCGTGTTGCAGCTGCTCGTGCTGCTGCTGCTGCTGCTGTTGCTGTTGCTGTTGCTGTTGGGTCTCTTGCTGCTCATGCTTGCAACGCTTAAGCCTAGACTGCTCTTCCTGCAACTCTTGCTGCTGCTGCTGCTGCTGCTGCTTTTGCTGCTGCTCTATTTGCTTCTGCCGTATTTCCTGCTGCTGCACTTGCTGCTGCTGTACTTCCTCCTGCTGCTGGCGGATTTTCTGCTGCTGTATTTGCTGCTGTTGCAGTTGCTGTTGCAGTTGCTGCTGCTGCAATTCTTGCTGCTGCTGCAGTTTTTGCTGCTGCAGCAGCTGTTGCTTCTGTAGTTCTCGCTGCACCAGTTCCTGCTGCTGCTCTTGTTGCTGCTGTTGCTTTAACAGCACCTGCAGCTGCTGCTGTTGATTTCTTTCCTCCCGCTGCTGCTCAGCTTGCTGCTGCTGCTGCTTCTGCAGAAGATGCGTCTCTTCCTGCTGCAGTTGCTGCTTCCTGTCTAAGTTGCGGCGCTCCTGTTGCATGCGTTGCTGCTCCTGCTTGCGTTGCTGCTCCTGCTGCTGTTGCTGTTGCAACTGCTTCAGCGTTTCTTGCTGCTGCTGCTGTGTTTCGCCGTGCTGCTGCTGCAGCCGCTGCTGTTGCTGTGCTGGCACGACGTCTTGCTGCTGTCGCTGCTGCTGCTGCTGTTGCTGTTGCTGTAGTTTTGGCCCATCTTCTTTTTGTCGTTGTTGTTGCTGCTGCTGCAGTGGCTGCTGCTGTGGCAGCTGCTGCTGGAGTTGCTGCTGCTGAGGCTCCCTTTTGTCCCGTTGCTGCCTCTGCTGCAGCTGTTGCTGTTGCAGCTGTTGCTGTTGCAGCTGTTGCCGTTGTTGCTGCTGATGCTGCTGTTGCTGCAGTGAATGCTGTTGGTGCTGCTGTTGTTGCTTCAGCTGTTGTTGGTGGTGGTGCTGCTGTTGCAGCTGCTGCTGCTGCTTCTGCTGCTGCTGCTGTTGCTGCCTCCCTAATGCTGCCGAAGCCCCTTTTGCAAATGCAGCACTTGCAGCAGCAGCAGCTGCTGCTGCTGCTTCTGCTGCTGCTGTTGCTGCATCTTTTCCATCGTCCTCGGGTGGTGGTGGTGGGTAGTTCATGGAGTGTAGCCGCTTCAGTGTGTTGCTGCTGCTGCTGCTGCTGCTGTTGCTGTTGCTGTTGCTGCTGCTGCAGTTGCTGCTGCTTTCTTGCCAACCGTAAGCCTTGGGTGGGGTATTGTGTCTGAAGCCACCGCTGTTGCTGCTGCTGCTGCTGCTGCTGCCTCTTCCGTTGTTGCTGCTGCTGTACCTGCTCCTACAATTGCTGCTGCTGTTGTTGCTGCTGCTGCTGAATGAAGGCCTTGGGGGTTTGTCTGACCACCCGCTGCTGCTGCTGTCTCCCCAATTGCCTTCCAAGGTTTTATAGGGGGCCCCCGGGGGCCCCCTATACCCCCTGTAGTCAGAGGGGGGAGGGGGGGGTCCCCCCCCATTAGGTGGGGAAAAAGGGTACCAAGGGGCCCCCGTGTACTCTACGGGAGGAGGGGGACCCCCAAAGGAGGGGCCCCCCCTAGGATCGTTGTCTTTATTTTCCTTACTGAATAGCATGGGGCCCCCTGGGGGCCCTTCTGCTCCGCTGCAACAGCTAATGCTGCTTTTGCTGCTACAACGGCTGCTGCTGCGGCTAGGGCTGCTGCTGCAGCTGCGGCTGTTGCTGCAGCGGCTGCTGCGGCGGCTGTTGCTGCAGCTCCTACTTCTCTGAGACATCATGGGGCCCCCTCCAACTGCAGAAGGTACAGCTGCTCTGTGGGGCAGATGACGGGGGCCCCTCCTAGGGGAGGTATAGGGCCCCTGTTGAGTGTCTCTACAGGTATAAGAGGGACCCTCATTGCGACTATGGGGCCCCCTACGAAGATTAAAAGATGGACCCTCTTCTGCGCACGAAGAAGGTGGAGGTTTGGGGGGAGGGGGGCCCATGGGAGGAGGCCCCATAGGGGGGCCCACAGGGGGTCTCATATGGGGCCTCCCTGGGGGCCCCTCGGCGGGGGGCCCCTCTGGGGGGGGTTCCGGGGGCGCCGGGGGCCCCGATGAGGCTGGGGGTCCGGGGGGCGCTCCGACGGCCCCCTTCCTTCTGTCCCAACCCTCCTGGGGTTCCCCATAACCAGAAGAATAACGGGGGCCCCTGCTGCTGCAGTGTGTTGTTTGCATGTCAGGGGGGTTATGGAGACACCGCGATGGGGGTAGGGGGGCCCCAAGGGAGGTGTCTGCTGGAGGGCCTCGGGTACGGTACCCATAAGGTATGTGTGTTGAGCTGCTAGCCTGCACTTCGCGGGGGCCCCCAGGGGGCCCCCCAGGAGGGCCTCCATGGGGCCCCCCAGGAAGACCTCCGTGGGGGCCCCCAGTGGGGCCCCCCATGCTGTGGGATGGGAAAGGACTCTCCTCTCTACTGTAACCTCTTTGGGGCCCCCCAGAGTGTCTCCTGTAGTAGGGGCCCCTGCCGACAGAGGGTTGTGGGGGGCCGCCAACAGTGTACTGAGGTCTAGGAAGAATGATGGGGCCCCCTCCTGTTGTGCCGCCGCTAAACCCTTGGCGAGGTGGGGGGATCCCTGGGCCCCCTCCAAACTGGGGGGCCCCTTCACGCATGTAGTATGGCTGTTGTCTTGGAGCCGTGTGGGGCCCCCTAGACCCTGCTGCTACAGGCCCTCTAGCAGCAGCAGCAGCAGCAGCACCAGGAGGCCCTGCAGGAAGCCTGAGGATAACAGGGGCAGGAGGGGGGTTTTCGCCCACGGGGCCCCCCATCCTGCTGCTGCTTATCCTTATTCTCCTGCTGCTGCTGCCGGTTTTCCTCTGCGGCTGATGCTGCTGCTAGGCTGCCTGGTGGGGTCTTAGGGGCCCCTAGGAATGTTGCCTTTCTTTAGGGGGCCCCCCAAGGGTTTGTTTTTGTTTGTTGTGTAGGGTTTAGCGGTGTATACTGACAAGGATTATATATAGGTGTATACGCAGCTCAGGTGTATAGGCAGCTCAGGTGTATAGGCAACTAATAAGGAGAGACACGAAAGGAAGGAAGAAAGCAAATATAAAAGGAGGGGGGGTTGGATGCCGGATTCGAGAAGGAGGGTTTAGGGTTTAGGGTTTAGTGTTTAGGGTTTAGTGTTTACGGTTCAGGGGAAACTGGGGTGTACAGGCAGCTGCAACCAATAAAAGGTTATAAATGAAAAGAAAAAGGGAAGAAGGAAAGAAGAAAAATAAAAAGAAAAGGGAGGTAATAAGGATAAAAAAAGAAGGGCGGTTTGCTGCTGCTATTTGCTGCTGAATACATATACCTATATATATAATAAAAAGAAGAGAAGAATTAAATAAATAAATAAATTTAATTAGCCAATAATATTGACAATTATATTTAAGGAAAATAAAAATCTTTTGTGTGAATAAAACAAAGAAAAAGACGAAGAATGATGGGTTAGGGTGGGGTCACTCAAACCCTAAACCCTAAACCCTAAACCCTAAACCCTAAACCCTAAACCCTAAACCCTAAACGCTAATCGGCTTTATTTTTTTCTGAATATTTTTATTTTTAATTAATAATTTATTAATTAATAAATGTCAATCTAATTGAAGAAAAAAAGCAAAAAAAAAAAAGGAGATGACCATTGGTCCAGTTTACAGACAGTAAAGTGTGAGAGGCCCCTAAACCCTAAACCCTAAACCGTAGCTGTTGAGGGTTTAGGGTTTAGGGTAGTGTTAGTGTCTCCCTTTGCGCTGCTGCAGCTGCTGCAGCAGTAGCAGCAGCAGCAGTAACAAATAGCACCAACAATAAAGGCAAGAACATTGAGGTCAGCAGCAGCAACTCATCCCACAGCAACAGCTGCAGCAGCAGCAGCAGCAGCAGCAGCAGCAGCAGCAGCAGCAGCAGCAGCAGCAGCAGCAGCAGCAGCAGCAAATGCTTATTGAGGGTCCCCTTTTGTCTACAAAGGAGACACTTTTATTATAATTTAGTCTCCTTTTTATATTAACTATAATTAATATAATTTCTTCTTAATAAAATATATATAATTAATTAATTAATTTTATTTATTTATTTATTTATTTATTTATTTACTTATTTAATTATTTATTTATTTATTTATTTATTTTTATATAAACAGGTATTAAAGTGTCTCCTCCTTATTAATAAAGAACAAAAGGAGACACTAACACTACCCTAAACCCTAAACCCTAAACCCTAAACAGCTACGGTTTAGGGTTTAGGGTTTAGGGGCCTCTTATATATCCTTAGGGGCCCCTTATACCTCTTGTCCCCTTTTGTCTCCTTTCCCTATTAATAATATTATTAAGAGACAATTAATAAAAACAAATTAAACAAAACAAATAAAAAAGGGTTTAGTAGCTGAATTGTCTCTCTTGCTGCAGCCTCTACATGAGGGGGCCCCCAGGGGGCCCCCCTCTAGTGGGCCCCCTAAGGGACCCACAAGGGGCCATCAGGGGCCCCCCATCTGGGGGCCCCCAAAGGCATCAGTCTAAAGGAAGAAGAATTGGGGGGCCCCACCCCTCTTGACGTGTCTCCTTTGCTGCAGCATGCGTGTCTCCTCTAGGTTTCTGCGGTGGTAGCGGCTTGCTGCTGCTGCTGCTGCTGCAGCAAAGACACACAACACAACCCCTAAACCCTAAACCCTAAACCCTAAACCCTAATATCCCCTGTGTTAGACAAGGATGCTTATGGTAGACTGCTTACTGCTTACCCTTTTTTTGCTGCTGCTGCTTCTGCAGTTGCTGCTGCTGCGTCAGCATAATCTGCTGTTGCTGGTGCTGCGGCAGCAGCTGCTGCAACTGCTGCTGCTGCTGCTGCTGCTGCGCTAGCTGTATAAGCTTATTAAGGTCTATAGAGAGACGAAGTGTCTCCTTTGCTTCTTTGCTGCAGCGGAGGGATAAAAAGGAGACACTTAATAGGCATAAAGAAGAAAAAGGACCTAATAAACAAAAAAAAAAAGGAGACAAAAGGAGACACAAAGGAGACAATAAATAAATAAAAAGGAGACAATAAATAATAAAAAGGAGGCAAAAAGAAGGAAAAGGAGACACAAAGAATTAGGAGTCAGCAGCAGCAGCCAACACATCTTGCGAGGCAGCAGCAGTTGCTGCTTCTACGGCCTGCAGCAAAAACCCCAGCAGCAGCAGCAGCAGCAACAGCAGCAACAGATGCAAAAGAACCGTAGCAGCAACAACAGCAACACCAGAAGCAGCAACAGCAACAGCAGCAACAGCAGCAGCAGCAGCAGCAGCAGCAGACACACGCTTGAGTAGTCTCCTAGTTCTATCAAGCAGCGAGCCCTCCATGCATTTGCTGCTGCAGCAACAGAAGCAAGACCACAGGGTGCAGCAGCAGCAGCAGAAGCAGCAGCAGCAGCAGCAGCAAGACCGCGCTCCGCTGTCTTTAAAGCATCTCCAAAGAACCGCTGCAGAGCCGCGCTGAACCCGGTGCTGCTGCTGCTGCTGCTGCTATTGCTGCTGCTGCTGCTGCTGCTATTGCTGCTGCTGTCTGTGCATGTCTCCTCATCCTCCCTTAGAAGGTTTTGTTTTGCTGCAGCAAGTTGCTGCAGCAGCAAAAGCGCAGCAGCAGCAGCAAACTAACACCATAACCTGTAGTGCCTGAGGGTATTTCCTGCAGCACTAGCAGCAGCAGCAGCAACAGCAGCAGCAGCAGCAGCAAATGTTACCTGCAGTAGGCGTGTCTCCTGCTGTGTCTCCTTTGTTAAGCAGCAGCACAACGAACTGCAGCACAGAAATTTATATTCAATTAAGGACGTGTCTCTCCACCAAGGAGACAGCAGCAAGCTGCTGCTGCTGCTGCTGCTGCTGCTGCTGCTGTGGCTGCTGCTGCTGCTGATGGAGGGCAGCATGAGAGAAGCCTCCAGCAGCAGACCCGCATAGATTACTCCGAGTCGCTGCTGCTGCACTGCAGCAGCACGCAGCAGCTGCTGCAGCGCGAGACACCGCAGCACAGAACGACGTGTTTGCTGCCGCGCATTTGCCTCTCTTGCTGCTGTTGCTGCTGCTCTTGCTGCTGCTGCTGTTGCTGCTGTTGGTATGTCGCGCGCTGCAGCAAAGAGACTTGCTGCAACAAAGAGACGGCGCAGCCGTGCAGTCTCTCTCCATGAAGCTCCTCCTTCCTCCTCCTGGTGCTGCTGCTGCTGTTGCTGCTGCTGCTGCAGCAGCAAATATGCAGGCAGACGGCGACGCCACTTTACGCGGAGCTGCTGCAGCGCAGCAGCAGCAGCCTGGGGGTCGATGGCTCCAATGCCCAGTTGCTGCTGTTGCTGCTGCTGCTGTTCTTGTTGCTCTTGCTGCTGCTGCTGTTCTTGTTGCTCTTGCTGCTGCTGCTGTTGCTGCTGTTGCTGCTGCTTAAATCGGCGCAGCAAAGTGAATAGTCCTGGCTGCTTGAGGCGCTGCAGCTGCAGCGATGCTAGACTTGCTGCTGCATGCGGTTGCTGCAGCAGCAGCGCTGCTTGTGCTGCTGCATGCAGCCCTAAAATGCTGCAGCAGCACAGCAGCAATTCCCACACAAGTAGTGCATGCAGATATAGCCAAACAGACGCAGAATCAGCAAGAGCAGCAGCAGCAGGAGCAGCAGCAGCAACTGCACCAGACACAACAACAACAACAACAACAACAACAACAACAACAACAACAACAGCAGCAGCAGCAGCAGCAGCAACTAACCTATTGGGGTTGTATCGTAGGGCTTTAGCAGCAAACTGTAGGGCCTCCTGCAGCAGCAACTCGCGAGACCCCACAGATACCCCCTTCCTTGAGGAGGCAGAAGCAGCAGCAGCAGCAGCAGCAGTTGCTGCTGCTGCTGCTGCTGCTGCTCGTGCTGCAGCAAATGGCGCAGCAGAGATTGTCCAGGGCCGTCTTACAGCAGCACCACAAGAGAGCCGACGATTGGATCTGCTGTGTCGTGCTGCTGCTGCTGCTGCTGTTGCTGTTGCTGCTGCTGCTGATGCTGGTGCTGCTGGTGCTGCTGCTGCTGCTTGTGGCTTCAAGGCAGCTCTTGCTGGAGCAGCAGAACAATCGCCAGAAGCATCGAGGCAGCAAACAGCCAACCTGCAGCAGCAACAAACACACAACTGCTGCTGCTCCTGCTGCTGCTCCTGCTGCAGCTGCAGCTGCAGCACCACCAAGAACAGGGCAAAGAGCAGCAGCACAAACAGCAGCAAGAGCCGCAGCAACAGCAGCAGGCCTACCTTGACAGCGCTATAGAGCGTAGTTTGCTGCTTCTTGCTGCTGTTGCTGCAGCAGCAGCAGCAGCATATTTCTTGAAGGCTTGCTGCCACTGCTGCTGCGCTCGCAGCAAATCTGCTGCAGCAAGGGGAGTAAAAAAACTAATTCTTTGCTGCTGCCGCTGCTGCTGCCTTCGGGTGTACAGACACCTCATTGCTGTTGCACTGCAGCCGGAACCACCCATTCTATCGGTGTTGCTGCAGCAGCAGCAGCAGCTGCGGCTGCTGCTGCTGCAGCTCCGGGTGCAGCAAAACAAATGATTAGCAGGAACGTAAAGATACTTGTTGCTGCTGCTGCTCCTGCTGTTGCTGCTGCTGCCGTTGGGGATATATATCGAGAGATTTGGGGGCCCCATCGGGGGCCCCCTGGGGGGCCCCCAAGGGCTCGTCTTCTGCTGCTGTTGCTGCTGCTGCTGTTGTTGCTGCAGTCTATTTATTAGAGTATAAATTAAATATGATTTATTTATTTATTTATTTATTTATTATTTTAATTAATTATATTTAAACAGCAACAAATAAATACAACTTTTGCCGCGCTTCTGTTGCTGCTGCTGCTGCTGCTGCTGCTGTAGACTCGGGGCCCCATGCCTCATCGACAGCAGCAGCAGCAGCAACAGCAGCAGCAACAGCAGCAGCAGCAAAAGAAGATATTAATTAATAAATGAAATAAAATAGATTTATAATTAAAATTAAATTTTATTTTTTATTTCTTTTTTATTTCTTCTCTTTCTTGCAGCAATAGTTTGCTGCTGCTGCGGCTGTTGCTGCTGCCGCTGCTGCTGGGCTCGAGCAGCAGCAGCAGCAGCAGCAG